TTTTTTTTCTAATTGTTTAAGCAACTTTATTAATTATATAAGGTTATATAAGGAACATTATTTTAAACATTATGCACTTTTTTCAAAGATAGTCGTGTTATTTTATTACGCTTTGAAGAAACGTGCATTAGTAATATTTTGCTCGATGCGCCCTCTTGTGGCCTCAGGAGAGAAGCCAAAAGCTTTTTTCCCCCCTAACTGAAATTATGCCTTTTAAATCAAAATATAATTCGAATATTGATAATATTTAAGTAAAAAATTCTAATTTAGTTTTTCAGCCATTTTGACAGCCTAAATAAACCTGCTGCTTCTGTGTCATAAATATTTATTTTTACAGTGAAGACTATCCAGTGTTATTTTACAGTTGAATGGATTATTCAATTTCTGTAGTACTTCTGTACCTGAATATTACTGTTAGACCTACCTGAAAAACTTACAGCAGTTAATTTCATTTGTATCTTGTTATTGTATTTGTTTGTGCTATTGCTTGTCATTTATTTATTTGTTCTTATTTTATTAATGACCGTTTACTTGTCTTTTCTAGTTTAAATAAATTCAATTCAGAGTTTGAAATCAAAGTTCTATTCAGGTATCTTCCTAACAATATAAATATGAATCAACACATAATTATAATTTGCAAAACACAAATAGGTTGAGTGACGAAACATTTAGGTTAGATGATTGTAATTTGAAAAAATGTCTAAAGCAGCACCCCAAACACCTTCACATGTGCTTCTCAAAATAAGTAGTAATTATTAAACATTATATCATAATATTTACTTCATGTTTTAATTTTAACAGTACACCTCTGTTGTGCAGCACTTCGTTTGCCACAAAATAAAAGAAAAAAATATTAAATGTTTAAATATTATTATAAATCTAATTACTAAATATTTACATTTTACTTTGATTACATTGAATCAATCTGTTTAATTTTTTGATAATAAATTTGTATTCAATCATAAAAAAAAGCATAATAAATAAAACAAAACAGAATTTCTGAAAAGATAAAATATTAACAGTAGGACTGGGCGATATGTGCAAAAAAATTATCATGATAAAATTTTTTCATATCAGTCGATATCGATAATTATCACGATAAATGTCAAATCTTTATTTATTTCAAGTTTAAAGGCAGATTTTTGCTCCCAAGTTGTAGAAACCAGACCATTATTTGTGGTTTTAAACGACTCTTTATTGTCAGAGCATGACAAACACTTCACGTTTTTGAGTTCTTTACACTTTTCAGTCATTTTTCCTTAACAAAATAAATATCTTAATATGAAAACTAATTTCTTAGTTTCTGCATGTTCTAATAAGTGATACTGTTTCAAATCATGAAGCAGGTTTGTGTTCCTGACTTTG